TCTCACGTTAAGGATGGCGGTGGGGTGGGGAAACAACAACAGCAGTACATTGGCGGTTGGAGTTTGAGGAGGGGCGACACACACGTGAAAAATGGCGGTGAGGTGGGAAAAAACAATTACAGCTAAAAGAGCCGTGGGAGTTTAGAGGGGATGGGTCAGCTGTGCATACCCCTTCGAGTATTGGACATTTTAATGTAGAGCGGGAAGGGAAACATGCCAGAAGGCGGGGGGCAACGATGAAACCAACCACGTGGTTTCTGAGTGTGCTAGAACGAAGGCTCCCGAGTCTGGACTGGAATGGGGATCGAGAAGTAGTTGGGGGCTTCTTGTGGGGATACTCTGGCAACAAGATGCGGAAGGCCATCAACCTTCGATGTCATCAAACCACAGTTGTACTGGTATGCAAACAGCGGTTCTACGTGTCGCTTTCAGCAGGCGGTAGTGCTCGGTTTCTTGTACAGCGGTAGTCGTGGGGGGGTGGCCTGCATAAGGCGGGTGAATGTGCTTCGGCACAGATATGCATACAACAACCAAAATGTTGTTATTGTGGCCCTTAGACTCAAGGCGGGTGCCCGTTACAAAGGTGTGGCGAACCAGCCTGCAACATAAAACCGCGCTACGGAGGGCAAGACCCCAAGACGGCGACGGTAGTGCAACAACCAGAGCTTTTTACACTCACCACAATCAAGCCCTTGAACTTGTCGTTCCGCAAGAGGGCCAACTGTTGTCGTTTTCATCGCGGCCCACAAAACATGAAAGGAGGGAAACAAAGTGTACGAACAACAAGCAACACCAACGCGTGCGGAGAACAGGGGAACAAGAAAAAGGGCAGGCAACAGGCGGGGCACAAGCCCGCAAAACAAGATGGGGTCAGCGCAACCGAAGCGTAGGGATACAAAAGAGGGCCGTCTTCGCAAGGATACTAATGTCTATGATAGGCGTGGAGGGTCTCGTATCTCTAACCTTACCCGTACTAGCATCAAGACAAACACCGTCGCGGAGGCAGTTCAAAAAAAATCCCAGTACAAAATGCTGCACGTTGCCTCGTCGCCCCATTTTCTCGCATGCAAGAAGACAAGACAGAAACGGCTGGACGTGATGTGTACAAGATAATATTGCCGCACCGTATCGCCCGCGGCGGTGTCTCACCATGCCGTAGTCCTGCCCGACCAGCTGGGCCAGCAGCTCGTCTTCCATCGCCCCTGACGCTCCCGCGGGTTCGGACGGTTTTCTCGCCGACTCAGCCGCTGCACCTGACACGCCCTTGGGTCGTCGTCAAACGAAGAAGTGTTGCAATAGGGGTGCGGGGGGTGCGGTCGTGATCGTTGTTCATATTTCATTCCCTTTCCACGTCGTGACGTCGTGACGAAAAGAGGTGTTGCAACGCGGGTGCGGTCGTCGTTATTTTTCATTCCCCTTCCATTGGTGCCAAATCGAGCAGAACCAACTCGCTAGGGGCTCTCGAGAGACGACCGCTTTTTTTTTGTCGTCTGTCCATCATGTCGGTGACCGCCATGGCATGAGGCGGCAGAAGCACAATTGCAAGGAAGCAGCAGCGGTTGTCTGGAGAGAGTCGTCTACACATACGCAAACCAATAACGCAACCCACCCTACGCATACCTCTCCTTCTGCTCCCGTTGCGCCGTCTGCACCAGGGTCCCCGGCAGCACCTCCCACGTCACCCCCCTCGCCCGCCGATGAAGTTGCGGCCGAGACCCATGTCAACGGCCGACGGCGGCAGAGGAGGTGATTTCGAGCGCTCAGTCCCCCGGTGCCCGCCGGGGGGCATCGCAAATTGCTCCCCGCGTGGGGGCACACCACACTGCCCTCAGCGCGTACCGTCAACTTCCCGGACACGGCGAATATGGCGTTGTTGCGCCCGTGCATTGAATCAGACGTCCCCTGAGGGAATGTAAACCTGTGTTAATACATGGTGTCGGACGCGGGGGGGGAGGGCGGAGCGGCATGAAAATTTGAGGCAGTGCTCCGGAAAAGCCTCTAATGTAAGAGCTGGAATCATGAGCGGTGTGATTGCCATAGCAGAGCAGAAAAGCGACTCGTATTAAAATACTACGCACTCTCATTTTGTGTTCGGTGCCAGGGAAATGCCGGGCTCACGACCCGGGTAACAGCCACGCCCTGCTGCTGAGACATGCTGGAGAAAGCAGAGTTCGCGCCATGTTGGTTCTACCCGGAACACGAACTACTGCTGTATGTACTGCTGAACTGACGTTTTCCAACGCGAGGACTGCAAACGTAATGTAGCACTGGGTTTGCCAGCTTTCTGGGTGACCATGTTAGTAGCGGAGTGAAACACCCGCGGGCACAAACAGTGGTGCCCTGTTCATTCTCTGCCTCGGCAGGCCCTGCCTCGCTCGGTTGGATACACATTCGTACAACGAGATGTCCCACTCGCGGCATGCCACGCAGCACGCGTGGCGTTGAGAGGGCTCCATACCTTCGTGCCGTGCGTGCACCCACTCCATCAACGCAAAGCATCTTTTTCACCCCAGGCCTGGTAGTGCACGACATCACCAACCTCTCAGGCAGCGCAGGGGCAAAAAAGACGCTTGACGCTTCAGAGCGAGTTGGCCGTGTAGGCACCAGGACACCACCGTTCGTTGCCGGCAGACACAATCATGCCTATGCCCCAACCTCCATCCACCGCAAACAAGCACGCCAGCCGCTGGTGATGCTCTTCTCGACTGTCCATGCCCACGCTTCCTCTCTCTGCCTAGCTGCCCACCCGCTAGAGGCTGCTACACGTGTGTTGAACAAGCGCCTGTGTTGGCAAGACAGAGGGAAGTCGTCGTCGACCTACACAGCAGCACAGCAGGGCGCAGCACACCAAATGGTTGCCTACCTTGTCACAGGAGATAAAAATGCCTGCGCCGGTGGAGGCACAGCCAGCGCAATCGCGCCGGAGAGTATCACCAAAGCCACGCACATTGTTGGTTGCAGGAATTGTGCTGACAGCACATGACATGATGAACGCCACCATGCACATCCTTTCAGCTTTGCGCCCCTGCCGCACGGAGCCCCCATCCCATGGGGGGAGGGGGGATTTCGTGATGGCCGGAACCATCACATGCAACTTCGGCGCCCGGGAATCTGCCAACATTGGCAGGAACGAATTCCGTGCCAACACGAAAAACGCCTGCAGAACCTACTTACAGAACCAGATATCGATTTCAAAAAAGGGTTAGCACAGCAAGTACAGCTGTGTACGCAGTACGCAGCCATCCTACGCACAGCCACCGGCCTAGGCACAGCCAGCCAGGCTACGCACGCGACAGCCTTTCGCGACACCGCTTCACACCGCTGGAAAAAAAAACCCGGAGGTACGGCCAATCCAGAAGCGCTTCATGGAGACTGTTGCCGAGTGCTCTGCGCCGGTGGCGACCGTTGGTGCGTCGGGAGCTGCGTGGCGTAGCTGGTCTGCTGCCGCTGCGGATGAGGGCGCTTAGCGCACTACGACCGGGATCCCTACTACCGGGAGCCCGGAGGCCGCTGCTGCTGCTGGGCCGTCAATGGACGAGGTAGGCAGGCGCTCTAAACGTACTAATAACGGATGAAACAAAGGCATCTCGCGTTTAAAATTCGAGAGCCCACACGCAGCAGTTGTACGGCTATCTGTCCTAATCATAAATGTGTTCCTGAGGCCATTTCTTACGAAGTCTTTTTCTCTGGACCTTTTTTCCCTCAAAA